GGGCTGGGGCTGGGGCTGGGGCTGGGGCTGGAGCTGGAGTCCACGCTCGGGTCCGGCCCGCGTGCTCGTGGAGTCGCTACTCCTCTGTCCCGGCCGCCCCGGGGCTAGGTGGTTTGTAGCTCGCGCGTCCCAGCAGTTCTCCTAACCCTGCGGTGCTCCCTAGCAGAAAACCTGCTCTGCCCCCTTTCCCCGGGGCAGTCCCTGGCCTGTCACTGCGAAAGAAGAAAACGTCTTTCTAATTGGCAGTACCCGAAGTGTCTTTAAACCCACGGGGTTAGATGAGATGAGACTCATCAACGGAGTTTATTGTTGTCAACAGTGTCTGCGTTAATTAGCCAACTACCTTTTCCTCTCCATGATCCAAGTTAAGGAACAAGCAGTTGACTGACAGCCATATCGAAATCTGGGGACATTTCTTAAATCTTTGATTTTTTTTAGTTCCCCCCCAAAAAAAACCTTCAAATTTGCCCATCCTTCCCCCCCTGTAATAATTACTAATAGGACTTACTTCCTCCTCCATTTCCCCCCAACCTCAAAAAAAAAATCATCAGTTGGGAGTCATCCTTCAAAGTTATGACTTGGAGTAAGGCTGCGGGAATCTTTTGTTAATTGCCATTTGCCGAGAATATTTGGGAAATTACACAGAGACACCTTTGGATCATTTCTTGTTAACTTTATAACTACATCTGTGAGGTGTGTGTATGTGATTTCCCGGAAGTGCTATACTCAATTCCCTAGACTTACTTACACTGACATGTATTTATTTTTTAAAAAATCACTATCAAGCCGCGCACTCTACCTACTCAGGAGGTTGAGATCAGAGGATTGCAGTTGGAAGCCAGCCAGGGCAGGAAAGTCCATGAGACTCTTATGTCTAATTAAGCCATCAAAAGTTGAGAAGTGGAGCTATGGCTGAAGTGGTATAGAGTACTAGCTTTGAACACAAAAGCTTTAGGACAGCATCTAGGCTCTTGAATAAAAGCCCCAGGACTGGAACAAAAAAAAGTATTAGAACATAAAACCATTGAAAAAATTCTAAAGTAGGTTAAACCAGAAGTTCTAAAAATTACTTGACTATCAAGGAACATTTTTTAAATAAATGTAGAAATAACTGTGATCACTACTCTCAATGGGCCCCTAGATTTTCAGTAATAAATTTATAAAAGCTTTAGTGAATCACTAGTGTTGTCATTTGTGCTAAACATTTTGTCTGGCAACTAAGCAAAAAGCAACAAAGATCATAAATCTAATTCTAAATATATTCTCCATATGTGAATATATCACATATGTATATAATGTTACATTAAAATTTTGCCTTGAGTTAAAATTAATAAAGAGCTAGGAAATAAATTAACTAATATAGTAGTTTAAAATGTAATTTGTCAGAGTATTCAAAATGATACAGAAAAATACATAATGAAGTTTTTTTTTTTAAGACCGATATGAAACCAGGTATGGTAACACATGCCTGTAGTCCCAGCATGCAGGAGACTGAAGCAAAAGAATCATGACTTTAAGACCAGCCTGAGCTACACTGCAAGCAGTCTTTGAGAGGAAAAAAAAAAGATTTGTATTGGTCCGGTAAAAGTGCAGTACTAACAAAGTAGTTTAGGGTGATACCAATGGGAATATTTACATATAATCTCTCAGATAATAGCTACAATAATAATAGCTAATACTGATTGAGTCACTTTTCTATGCTGAATGCTTTCTAGGTTTTATTTAATCTCCACAACCCTAGGAGGTAAATACTGTTATCTTTTTTTCATTCACCAGATTAGGCGTTTTGGGAGTTTTAAGTTGAGAAATTCATCTAGGTTACCAACTGATGCCAAGTCTAACCTGCTTTTGAAGAAGCAGCATATGGATGGAAACTATTTTCAGTAGTGAGTAAGGAAAGTTAGCAGCTTAAATAAATGTTATTTTTTAAAGTGGCTTGAGTTTGTTGGGGTGGGGTTTTTTATGATTTTTTTGGTAGTTGTTTGTTTTCTTAAAGAGAAAAGTTTTAAACATGCTCTCAAAGCAAAGGAACAAGCCAGGGGAAAGCAAGACACTAGGGATAAAAGAGACGGGGAGGGGACTGGGGATGAAGCAGATAGGCTAGATCAAGCAGGAAGTAATAGGCTCTGGATTTTCTTGCATCATGTTAAATTCATCTTATACAAGGTAGGAACAAAGAAGAGCTACAACTCCTGGTGTTAAGACACTGAAGAGTAAATACATTTCTAAGTTAGTTTGGCCAAAACAAACAACAACAACAAACTTGCCTTCCAAAACAAGTCAATTAAATGTCCAATGAAGCTGTGGCGATAATACTGATAGATAGTATCCACAACATTTGAACTCTATAAAAAGGACTCATCTCAAGGCATGGTAGGTGGTGGACTGCCCTGCTTTCTCCTGAATCTCTGAATCTCTCAGTGCCTTCTCTTCACCTAAAAATTAGAGTAATAAAGATACCTCGTGTAAAGACAGAGCCTGACATTTAGTAAATATTGTGTTTGCTTTTAAATAGAAGTTGTCTTGGACAGAAACAGTGCATATTAATAATCCAGGATGACTTTGCCAGCAAAAGATAAAGAGATAGCATGTGTGTGGTTTGTTTTGTTTGGGAGAGTCTATTTTTTTTGGTTGGTTGGCTTATTTATATTTGTTTGTTGTAGAGGGTTTATTTGTTTTTGGTGCTAGTCCTTGAACTCTGAGCCTGCACTTTGTCCCTGAGCTTCTTTTTGCTTAAGACTCCTGCTCTACCACTTGAGTCACAAATCCACTTCCAGCTTTTTGGTAGTTTATTGGAGGTACAAGGCTCATGGACTTGCCTGCCCTGGCTGGCTTCAAACTGTGATCCTCAGATATGAGCCTCCTGAGTAGTGTGAGCCACCCAGACCCATCAAGAATTTTACTTTGCTTGATTTGAGTTGGCTTTTGTCTTTTTTTCTTGTCATTTGATGATGTGAACTTTGGCTCCTCTAGAAAGAGGCATGGTTGACATCCAGTGGAAACTTTTGCTTATAACAAGTACTACTTAACATTCCATTTGTTTTCATATTCGCTAAAGAAGTAATTGATGTCATTTAGAAAAGTATATTCCCAGTTTTCTCTTGAATGTAACGTGGGTGTAGCTGTCTTGTCTTTTTTACATATGCAACAGTAAAGAGCATATGTGAATTTATACCAGTAAAGTATATCTTTGTCTCAAAATCTTAGGCTGCATCCATAACAGGAAAAAGAGCTAACATCACCCTTCTCCTGGCATGATAATCTCAATAGCCGACCTCAAACAAAAGTCCTCATGTAAAGAGCTTATCTGTTCTTACACTTTCAGGAGAGATTTTCTCCTGTGCTTTTCTTTTTCAGATCAGCAGAAAAAGAAGATGACCTTGATAGTCTTATTAATGAAATATTTGAAGAACCCAACTTGGATAGAAAAACCTTTGTAAGTCAAGTGTTTTTTTTTTTGTTTTTTTTTGGGGGGGGTCCAGTTTTGGGACCTGAACTCTGGGCCTGGGCGCTGTCCCTCAGCTCTTCAGCTCAAGGCTAGCGCTCTACCACTTGAGCCACAGCGCCACTTCTGGTTTTTTTCTTTTTGCTTATGTGGTGCTGAGGAATCGAACCCAGGGCCTCAGGCATGCAAGGCAAGCCCAAGTCAGGTGTTTTTGTTTTGGGTTTTTGTTTTTGTCAGTTGGGGGGCACTGTTTTGTCAGTGTCAGAGCGCTGTCCCTGAGCTCTTCATCTCAAAGCAGACGCCCTACCACAGTGCCGCTTTCGGTTTTCTGGTAGTTAATTGGAGATAAGTGCCTCATGGACTTTCTTTCCCAGGCTAGTTTTCAACCACAATCCTCAGATCTCAGCCTTCTTAGTAGCTAGGATTACAGGTGTGAGCCGCTGGCGCCTAGCTAGTAAGTCTATATATTTCTAGACTATTAGAATAGCCTTAAAGAGGGCATAGTGGCTATATGTATGTAGTCCTTTGAACCCTGAGTACAATTACTTTAAAAAAGTACAGTTACTTTTAAAAAATGAAATATAGGGCTGGGAAGGTGGCTCAATGGTAGAGCGCTTGCCTTGCATGGATGAGGCCCTGGGTTCAATTCCTCAGCATCACATAAGCAAAAAAGAAAAAAAAATGGAAGTGGCGCTGTGGCTCAAGTGGTAGAGCGCTAGCCTTGAGCTGAAGGACAGCGCCCAGGCCCAGAGTTGAGGCTCCACGACCAGACCAAAAAAAATGAAATATAGAGGAAATTATATATGAGAAACTCTCACTGTGTGCTTCCCTGTTTCTTTCTCAGCAAGAATAAACTAGGAAAGCTGTTGGTGTAAAAGTCAACACACAGCTATCAGGTTGTTCACTTGTATTTATTTGTTGTCTAAAATCACCTTTGTAAAAAGCTCAAAACAGAAAACGTCCACTGTAGGTATATTTTTAGCATCTCAGCTGCAGTGCTATTGCTAATAGCCTGTGAAGTGTTAATATTTCAACTTTTTAGCTGAGTACTGCTGGTCATGTCTGTAATCCTGTCTACTGAGAAGGCTGAGATCTCAGTTCCAAGTAAGCCCAGGCAGGAAAAGTTCATGATACTCTTTCTTATTCCAATTAACTTCCAAAAAGCCATTAGTGGAGCTGTGGCTCAAGGGGTATAATTCTAGCCTTGAATAAAAACACTCAAGGACAGTGCCCAGGCCTTAAGTTCAAGCCCCAGAACCAGCTCAAACAACAACAATTTTTTTTAATATTTATGTATCTTTTAATTTTGTAAAGTGTTCATGAAATAATAATATAGTCACCATTCTACTGAACATATCTTAATAGCTATCCAAACTAAATATATTTCAATGTTTTGCTGTATTGTTGTGCTTTTTAAAATTTTACTTATTTTTAATTTTTAAAACAGTTTTTTTAGACTGAGGCCATCTGTAGCTTAGGATGGCCTCAGTCAAACTCATTATGTAGCCTAGGTTGATCTGGGTGTCCTCCAAACTTTTATTTTTAATAAATAAATAGCAGAGATATTGTTTAAAACCTCAAGTCCTATTCTGAGGTAACTGCTATCCTTTCCATCAATGCTTTGATATATTAAGAAGGTAAATACCATAAACAATTTTTAAGTGGCATATAATAGTCCACAACTTATTTATTCACGTCACCGGCCATAGACATCTAGACTATACCCAGTAGTTTACTATTGCAAATAGTACTCCATTAGATGTCTTTTCCTATGCAAACCTAGAAAAGGAAGGCCTAGGTCATAAGCTCTATGCTCAGCTTCACCTTTTCCACCCATTGCCAAATTCTTTTCCAAAGTAGCTGTGTCGTTTAGTTTTTCTCACCAGCAGTGTATGAGAGTTTGTACACCCTAGTTTATACCAGTGTGATATGTGTGTAACATTACTCATTAGAATTTTTTTTTTTGGGGTCCGGTCGTGGGGCCTGAACTCTGGGCCTGGGCACTGTCCCTCAGCTCTTCAGCTCAAGGCTAGCGCTCTACCACTTAAGCCACAGCGCCACTTCCGGCTTTTTTCTTTTTGCTTATGTGGTGCTGAGGAATCGAACCCAGGGCCTCGAGCATGCAAGGCAAGTGCTCTACCACTGAGCCACCTTCCCAGCCCCTCATTAGAATTTTTTAAAGATATCAAACAAATGTCTGATTTACAAAGGTCATAAAGAAAACCCAGAAAATATATGTAACAAAGAAATAAATATAGCACAAGAGCTTTTGGGTGTTTTTGTTTCATGTTGTTTTTTAGCTAAACAAGGTTAAGACAGTGGACTGAAAAGCACAGGTTATGAATGTAGGCCACTGGTATTTTTGTCAGTGAGACCAAGAATGATCTTATTGGAATAGTGTGTGTATGTGTGCATGTGTGCGTGCGTGTATGCATGTGTGTGTGTGTCTGTCTGTCTGTCTGTCTGTTGGATCTGGGTCCTGGGACATGAACTCAGGACTTGGACACTGTCCCTAAGCTTTTTTGTTCATGGCTAGTGCTCTACCACTTGAGCCACAACTCCACTTCCAGATTTTTGCTAACTAATTGATTAGCTTCACAGACTCTCTTGCTCAGGCTGGCTTTGAACCTTGATCCTTAGGTATCTGCCTCCTGAGTAGCTAGGATTGCAGTACCTGTATTAATATAGCTTTTAAAATCTGAATTTTTGTAAATTTGACATTTTCATTCACCTGTCTCATGATAAGTCAGTGCAATGGTAATGTTAAGCACAAGTGCCAAATTAGTGCAGCCTAAGTGCCAAATGGTGATTCTAATTAGTAGGTAAAGAAAATGGGATGATTGGGCTGGGAAGGTGGCTCAATGGTAGAGTGCTTGCCTGGCATGCATGAGGCCCTGGGTTCCATTCCTCAGCACCACATAAGCAAAAAGAAAAAAGCCAGAAGTGGTCCTGTGGCTCAAGTGGTAGAGCGCTAGCCTTGAGCTGAAGAGCTGAGGAACAGTGCCCAGGCCCAGAGTTCAAGCCCCACGACCGGAACCAAAAAGAAAAGAAAATGGCATGATGTTTTTGTTACACATTAATCATCTGAACATTACTTATTAACTATTCTAAGGTATATATCTATATATGAGACATTATTTTCAATTGGAAGTGGTTCAGAAGATAAATATTTCTCTGGTATGGCTTTAAGATATACTAAATTGAATATAGCTCTTAAGTCATGAAGAAATAATAAATTTTGTACATTTCTATGTTTCTTCCTAGTTATTATACCTGGTTTTCTATCCCTTAAGGGAGAGAACTGATCTGAGTTAAATATTTATTGGGCGAGTAAAAGAAGTGTTGATGAATGAATGGTCCTGCCCACACTGCCCACAGGCATCTCATACCCCACAGCACTAACCCTCACGCAGCCTTGGCCCTCTCATTTGTTACATTTTGAGTGCATGCCTGCATGTGTGCATGCATGCATGCTAGTCCTGAGGCTTGAACACAGGGTCTAGGCACTGTCTGTAACTTTTTCACTCAAAGCTAATACTCTGTCACTTGAGCCATACCTCCATTCCTGGCTTTTTGGTAGTTAATTGAAGATAAGATTCTCATGGACTTTCTGGCCTGGGCTGGCTTCCAACCATAATTCTCAGATTTCATCCTCTTGAGTAGTTAGGATTAGAGCCAGGCATGGGTGCTGGCTTCATTTGTTACATTTTTTTTTATCTGCACTCAGACCCACTCTAGAAAGCCCAGAAACAAGCAACAAATGTCACTGTATTAAAGTGTCAGGTTTGGATGGTAATATAAAACATTTCCTAATATGAAAAGACCCAGGCCAAATGTTAATTAATCACAAGTCTGTAACTCTGTAAACTCCCTAACCCTTATCTCCCTGAGTGACTATCTCCATTTGATCATCCGCGCCAATTGTTTTATTACAAAGAGTGTTATAAACTTCCCCCAGTAGTAAACTGAGCCAATCCTGGGGAACCTGGGGTCTTATGCTAATCCTGTGGCTTTTGTCTTTAAAAGTGCCTGTAACCGCTCAGGACTTCCTGTCTGCCCTGGACAGAGAGCCCGTTTGCGCAAACGCCAAATAAACTCCTCTTGCTTATTGCAAAAAAAAGAAAAAGAAAGAAAGAAAAGACCCAGCTGGCACCTCTAATCCTAGCTACTCAGGAGGCTGAGATCTGAGGATAGTAGGAAAGTCTGCGAGACTCTTAATCACCAATCAACTACTAAAAAAAAGCTGGAAGTAGTGTTGTGGCTCAAGTGGTAGAGCAATAGCCTTGAGCAGAAGAAGCTCAAGGACAGTGCCCAGGCCCTGAGTTCAAACCCCAGGACTGGCAAAAAAGAAAAGACCCATGCACATTACTATTTTTCAGATGTGAGGGGGGGGGAAATATCCTGTTTAATGTAAAAAAAAAAAAAAGAGAAAGAACAAAATATTTTTGCCTCCATTCAACTTCCTCACTCACTAGTAAAATGAAGGCATGTCTCTACATAGTTAAAATTGACTTCCTGTATCTTACTTCCTCTCCTAAAAGTGGTGGTCCTAATATGTGCTTGGTTTATGTTGTTTAAGAACATATACCAGTTAACACTTAATAATGCTGGCCAGTGATGGGCAGATTATGTAATCATTAGGAACTACTGTTTAATTATAACTAGGTAACTACATTTTCCTTGAAAATCTATTGGTTGATAACATTCCCTTTGGTCAAAACTAATATTCCTGAAGTTATACAGGAGTTTGGTTCATTTATTTTTAATTCAGATGCATACCACTCACAGCCTTTAAAAATTAGTCTGGGTTGGTTTGGGTTTTTTCTTCCTCAATTGAATTTTTCCAGAATTAAGTTTTAAATAGCAGGTCCTTCATATTAAATCATTGAACTCTGATATTAACTGAAGAGTTATAAAGTGACTGTAAATCTTACCATGCTAGTGGCAGTATATCAATTTCCTATACTTAAAAGTCAGTGTAGGAAAGTAATTTACAAATTCCTTATGGATTTGTACTTCCTTGTTAACCTTTAAATGGTCATGATCATTGTTTTCCTTTCAGACACTTACAAAATGATGCTACCAAATTTTTAAAAAATAGTTTAAAGTAATAGTTTAAAACAAAGAATATTAGCTTTCATGTTGTCATTCTCAGTTACTCTTGGCCTCTTATTTTGTTTTCTAACAGAAATTAAAATCTAGATCTTCAGGTAACACATCTACCAAAGCCTCTATTCAAGGCCTCAGTAAAAGGTAAGTTGAGATCGCTTTAGTGAGTTACACACTCCAGTGAGCAAACACTATGAGCCTAGTCTAATAGATTTTGTTACCATTTGAAGAGCAGTGACACTGAAGAATAAAATGTAGGTTGGTCTTTAGGAGAAAGATCAATAACAATATCCTCTATGGTCTGGGCCCCCCCCTTAGTATAAAGGAAATTAAATGGGAGATTATTGCTATTGTAAATAATTTTCTGTGTTTAAAAAATGTGTGAACAGTTTCTCAAAATTAATGTTCTGTTATGTTCTGTAGCATTTACTTTGTTCCTTACATTATTTGGCAAACACATTTTTCTGTGACTCATTTGGATTCTTTGAGTGTTCCTAAATATGTAGGTTATGTCCAATAAAATAAATACCTCTTCTTTAAAATAGCTGGCTTGCTAGGGGAGATGTGCAATTTGATTAGAAGCACACAAAGTCAGTGGGGCCAAATTAACTCCTCCTATTTCTTTCTTTTGAACACATCCAGTTGCGGACCAGTGTACCTGAGTGGAAGCAGTGTTCCATGGGGGATTGGAACGAATACATCACAGAGGTAGGATGTCACAAATACCTTATTCTTTCCCAGTAGGATTTTTTGTTTTTGTTTTTTTTTAATCGATGCTGTTTTGTTGAGATGTAGTTCTTACCATCTTGGCATCAATTTATTTTATAATGAGAAGCATATTTTATTAGGCATTCTAAGGACAGTTTATTGAAATGTTTCTTTTTCTTGGCAATTAGCTACCAAGGGCTGTGATGTAGGGTGTGTGTTCTTGTATAGAAACTCCTAGCTCACTAAGGTCAAACTTGGTTCTCTTTTTTTTTCTTTTCTGTCAGTCATGGACCTGAACCCAGAGCCTGAGCACTGTCCTTGAGTTCTTTTGCTCTACCACTCTATCATTTTGAGCCACTTCCAAATTTCTGGTGGTTAATTGGAGATAAGAATCTCACAGACTCTCCTGCCCAGGCTGGCTTTGAACCAAACTCCTCAGATCTCAGCCTCCTGACTAGCTAGGATTACAGGCGTGAATGAGCCACCAGCACCAGTCCTTAAGCTTGGTTTTCACAAACACCAGGAGAAAGCACCTTCCAGGCAGTGGGAAGCAGTACAGTGGCACTACCCACGATGCCTCAGCCACACTGATTCGCCAAACAGCAGAAAACTACAGGTCCTCATTACACAAAAAGTTTTCAAGCACAGTCACTTGATTTACATATTTCTAAACCAGAACCCCACCACTACTGCTTGTATGTTCCCTTCTCCTTTCTAGACTCTCTTTCTTTTTTTTTTTTTTTTTTGGGTCCGGTTGTGGGGCCTGAACTCTGGGCCTGGGCACTGTCCCTCAGCTCTTCAGCTCAAGGCTAGCGCTCTACCACTTGAGCCACAGCGCCACTTCCGGCTTTTTTCGTTTTGCTTATATGGTGCTGAGGAATCGAACACAGGGCCTCAGGCTTGCAAGGCAAGCGCTCTACCACTGAGCCACCTTCCCAGCCCCATCCAGACTCACTTTCTTACCCAGTATCTCAGACAGTCTTACTCCAAGCCCATGTTAATTCCTAGCGTATTCCATCACCATTTTCACAATACAGAATGATTTTAAGAAAATCTTTGCACTGCCTTGCTATCTTTGGTTCTATTTTTGGCAATAAGGCTACCTCCTACATTACTTTATTGGGGTTTTTGTTTGTTTGCTGGTACTGAGGCTTGAACTCAAGGCCTAAGCTGTTCCTTAGCTTTTTGTTCACAGTTAGTGCTCTACCACTTAAGCCCCAACTCCACCTCCACCTTTTTGATGGTTATTTGGAGATAAGGGTCTCATAGACTTTTTACTACCAATCCAGGCAGGAAAGTCTGTCTCCAGTTAACCATCTCCAATTAAACAACAAAAAGCTGCAAGTAGAGCTATGGCTGATGTGATAGAGCACTTAGCCTTGAGCAAAAAAGCTCAGGGACACAGCCAGGCGCTGGTGGCTCATGCCTGTAATCCTAGCTACTCATGAGGCTGAGATCTGAGGATCATGGTTCAAAGCCAGCCTGGGCAGAAAAGTCTGTGAGACTTTTATCCCCAATAAAACCACCAGAAAATTGGAAGTGGCGTTGTGGCTCAAGTACCAGAGCACTTGCCTTGAGCTGAAGAACTCAGAGACAGTGCCTAGACCCAGAGTTCAAGACCCACAACTGACAAAAAAAAAAAAAAAAACTCTGGGACAACATCCAGACCCTAATTTCAATCCCCAGGTCCAATACAAAAAATAAAATTCCCAGGTAATATGCTTTGCCCAGGGTCATTTTCATTATTATGAAACAAGGACTCAAACTGGAAACTTGACCCCTAACCTGTAAAATACACTTTCAAGTGCACCAATTTACTGCTTTTAATGTGGGTAGCAAGGAAGTAACTGCTTTTGCTATTGGAGCTGCACTGGTATTTCACACCTGTAATCCCAGCTACTCAGGAGGCTGAGATCTGAAGATTGAAGTTCAAAGCCAATCCAGGCAGGAAAGCCCAGAAGACTCTTAACTCCAGTTAATCACCAATAAAGCCAGAAGAGTTGTGGCTCAAGTGGCAAAGTGCCAACCTTCAACAAAAAAGCTCAAGGACAGCATCAACACTCAGGCTCTGAGTTCAAGCCCCAGGAGCAGCACAGAAAAAAAAAAAAAAAAAAGATTTAGTTCTTTAGCTCAGTTTGTGGAAAAGAGAAAGAATAGTTGCGTAGTGATATTAGTAAGTGATATAGATAAAAAACCAAGGCGTTATTTTCAAGCCAACTGAATTTTATCTGTAGCATACTTTTTAAACCATTTGCCAGACTGGATTATTCCATAGACTGTACTAATTATGATCTAGTAGAGTGAGTCAGAGCAGTGAAATGACTTCTTTAACTGACCATTACTTGTAAGAAAATGTGGTAGTGTGAATAGATTTAAATAAACTACTAAATTTTAAATTAAATTACAAAGCTGTATTTAACATTATGGTTGAGATTTTACACATATAAGATGTCAGGAGATTCTAAATAATGACTCCCACCACAGCAATAATTCAGCCAAATTGCATATATGTATTAAGGCATTAAAGTTAACACTCTGTGCAGTCATGTAATAAGCTAGATGCATAAGCAAGCAAATAATGGTCGCTTTGGGAACCATCACTTTGCATTTGCTGACTTGTACATCCAAAATGTGAATTCAAATTTGTACAAATGTGAATCTGTTGAATTTCCATATGTACCAGATATACCTTCATAAATGGTTAACAAATTGAAAGAAAATATAGAGTTGCTTATGAAATTTATATATATTTTTAAATGGTTGAACACCAGCTATGTGCAAGAAAGCCAAGCAAGCTGAGCCAGTACTGACACTAAAAATAATAATAATAGGATCAGCATTTCAGCCTACCTCTCTATGCCCAGAGTCCATGCACTTTGCTAACTGTACTTGTGACAGTGAATATTTTTTTTCCTTTGTTGTCATTTATAAGCACTTGGTGGATAAGGAGTAAAGAGACATATTTGACCATCTGTTGAAAAGTTTTCATCTTTTTTTTTGGTCGTGGGGCTGAACCTGAAACTCAGGTTCTGGGTGCTGTCTCTGAGATCTTTTGCTCAAGGCTAGTGCTCAACCACTTTGAGCCCATAGTACCACTTCCTGTTTTCTGGTAGTTAATCGGAGGTAAGTCTCACAGACTTTCCTATCCTGGCCGGATTCTCAGATTTCAGCCTCCTGAGTAGCAAAGAGCTACACCAAGGAGTAGCCATGAGCCATCCACAAGCAAATGAATACATTTTAACCAAACAAATGAATACATTGATGCCAGGTCATGGGGAAACTAAAACACATAAGCTATGATTCCAGCACAGAAGTCTTTTACAGTAGAGATAGATTTGTTTCAGGGTAGTGTCATATATTCTTTGATAGGAGAGCTTCTGGAAATTTCAGTAGGAAGAAAAGCACTTAGGTAGCATAAATAAAGAGCTCCCTCCGATATAATTTGAACATCATCTAATTAACAGATATATAGGAAGTGGCGCTGTGGCTCACGTGGTAGAGCACTAGCCTTGAGTTGAATAACTCAGGGACAGCACCCAGAGGCCCAGAGTTCAAGCCCCACAACCGACAAAAAAAAAGATATATAGATCTTTGTTTTATGTCTGTTATTATATATGTGTGCTTATATGTATTCATGTGCAAGATCTTGGAGGTATGCAAAAATTAACCTGAACTTTAGATGTGTAAATAATTCCTTAGTACAAACACTCATAGTTAATCTGTACTTTTTGCTTACATATTGACTAATCTGTAATCTGTAAATGGATCCTGTGATACGTATAGTTTCTAATGAACATTTCTTTTTCTTTGATCAGAGCATGTGACCGTCTGCGTTGTATAGCTTGTGATTTCTGGGTAGTGAGCTACAGCGACTATATGTGGGACAAATCATGTGATTACCTGTTTTTCAGGTATGTTTCCTCCGATTCTGTCTGTTTTCAGTACTGGGGCTTGGGCTGTGAACTTCACCTTGGTCAGCAAATGTGTTACTGCACATGAGCCACGCCTGCAGCCATTCACTTTTAGTTTGTTTTCAAAACAGGATCTCAATAACTTTTGTTCCACTCAGCCTCCATTCTGCTTTCTCCTCCTCCCACGTACCTGGGCTTTGAGGTCTGAGACATCAGATATAGCCCTTGGATATGTTTTTAAGGAACTTCACTCTGAAAAAGTATATGAAAGACTTTGCATTTCTCATTTTGCTGTATTGTCTCCTGGTCTTGGCCAGATCCTGTGGCTTTCTCTTCCGTATTTTTCTTGCCATCTTACCTCTTCCTTTCCATTTGTTTTCTGTCAGTCTAAATAAGGATTTGTTATTTCTGGACAACAGTGTAGAAGTATTCGCTGGTCTTTCAGACCATGCTTTTCTAAAGCATAGCTCTAAGTTTGCTACTATTATACCCAACACTCCTCTACTCACAGAATCAAATTTCTTAGCAGGCATTTAGGCCTCTCCAGGCTCTGCCCAGCCTTCTCTTCTACTTTTACTTTTGTTAAGACTTAAGCCCATCTCTGTTCTCCGTGCCCACTTCTGATGGCTGTGCAAGTTCCTGGGGAACCTGCCTGACATTTTCTTAACCAAGCCCTCCCTGCTTCTCAGACTGCAGTGTGTCCTGCATCTTCCCTGGTTCCCTCACCACCCAGTTTGGCATTAAACTCACACATGCACTCATAATCCACACATAAAACATACAAGCCTAGGGAAAATTACAACCTCAGAGGCTTTATAGTTCCTCACCCAAATAAAGCCTAGCTCTGTCCCAGAAGTCCAAAGTTCAGAACCCCTGCTCTCAAATTTAGCCTACTTTTTTTCCCCATACTTGGAAATGTTAGCTTTCAATTTCAGTTTCCCACTTTTTCTAAACCCACTTAGTATCTTCCGGCTAATAATCATCATGTGTCAACAAGAGAGATCACATACTTTTTTGTGTGTGTGTGTGGTTATGAGGTTTGAACCCTGGGCCTGGGTGCTGTTCCTCAGCTCTTCAACTCAAGGCTGGCACTCTACCACTTGAGTCACAGCACCACTTCTGGTTTTCTGGTGGTTTATTGGAGATAAGTCTCTCTCAGACTTTCTGCCCAGGCTGGCTTTGAACTGCTGTCCTCAGGTCTCAGCCTCCTGAGTAGCTAGGGTTATAGGCACGAGCCACCAACACCCAGCTTAGATCACATACTTTTTAATTGTTATTATAAAGGTGAGGTACAGAAGGGTTACAGTTACATAAGTCAAGAGCCCTTCCCTTGCTCTCACCCAGTTTTTTCCTCCCCTCCCTACCCACAAGTTGTATAGTTCACCTTAAACAGTATTTAGTGAGTACTACTGCTCCATTTGCTCACCTTTGTCCCTCCATTTCTACACCATGCATTTTTATAAACTATCTTGATTGGTACATGAGGAACTGAATTATGCAGCATCTGAGTCAGCAAGAACATTGGAGCCAGGCATGGCATACACACCTCTGGAGGCTAAGGCAGGAGGATAATGGTTTCAAGGCCAGCCTGAGCTACATGTTATCACCCTGTCAAGAAAGAAAAAAAAGAAAGAAAGAAAGAGAAAGAGAGAAAGAAAAGAAAGAAAGAGAAAGGAAGGAAGGAAAAAAAGAGAAAGAAAAAAACCAGGTAGGCAGGCAGGCACACACCAGTGGCTCACTTCTGTAATCCTAGCTACTCAGGAGGCTGAGATCTAAGGATTGTAGTTTGAAGCCAGCCTGGGCAGAAAAGTCAATAAAGCTCTTATCTTCAATTAACCACCAAAATGCTAGAAGTAGAGCTGTGGCTCAAGTGTTAGAGCACTAGCTTTGAGCACAAAAAACTCAGAAACAGAACCCAGATACTGAGTTCAAGCCTCAGGGACCAGCACAGGAAAAAAAATAGTGACTACTAGAAGATTTATTACTGTACTAAAAATAAACTTTGTGTTATTATTTAAATCAGTGGATAGTATCTCGACTATCAAGATGACTAGGAATATGTTTGAGAGATAAAAGAATGGAACAACTAAAGAAGAAGCTAGCCAGGTGCCAGTGGCTAAACCTATAATCTTAGCTACTTAGGAGGCTGAGATCTGAGGGTCAAGGTTCAAAACTTAGACTCTTATCTCTAATTAATCACAGAAAAAAAAACAGAAGTGGTGCTATAGCTCACGTGTAGAGTGCTAGCCTTGTGCAAAAGGCGTTTAGGGTCAGCACCCGGGAGCAGAAAAAAAAAAAAGAATAGGCTGTCCCAACCAAGATATAAATGACATTTATTTTTGCACAACTTACTAGCATTTCTTAATCCAACAGATGTTATTCAGTATCCAGTTTTTGCTGTCAAATAATGCACAGTTGATCATAGATGAATTCAATAAATGTGAATATGATAGATGAGAGAGGGGTCTCAAGACTCCATCTCAGTGAAGAAAGTTGGGCATGGTGTCATGAGCCTGTCAGCTCAGCTGTACAGGATGTTTAAAATAGGAGATCACAGTCAAAGCCAAACTGGACATGGAAAAACAAGACCCTACCTGAAAAATAACTTCAAGCAAAAAGGGCTAGGGACATAGTTCAAGTAGTAGAGCACCTGTCTAGCAATACAAAGCCCTAAGTTCAATCCCTAGTACTGAATAAAAGAAAAAGAAAGGGAAAAACAGGTTTGCAAATGCTATTGAAAGTGTTTCCCATAGTGCAGTGAGTTGTCTATCTTCAGTGGTATCACTCTGCATATCTGTTGCAGGATAAAATGCTGTACAGTGCCATGTTATTGTTTTATTGCTCTTGTTTTATAGATGAAGAAATCAGGTATCCTAGTATTGACAAGTGCTAGAACTTTCTAAAAGAAACAAGAGTGAATAAGCACTGATGGCTCACACCTGTAATCCTAGCTACTTCATGAGGCTGAGGTCTGAGGATTGCAGTTCAAAACCAGCCTGGACCGGAATGTCCATGAGACTCTTATCTCCAGTAGTGCTGGAAATGGCACTATGGCTCAAGAGGTAGGGCACTAACCTTGAGAACAAGAATCTCAAGGATAATGCCATGCTCTGAATTCAAGCTCCAGGACTGGCACACAAAAAAACGGAAGGAGCAGGGCACCAGTGGCTCACATCTATAATCCTAGCTACTCAGGAGGCTGAGATCTGAGGATCACGGTTCAAAGCCAGGAAAGTCTGTGACACTCTTATGTCCAATAAACCACTAGAAAACTGGGAGTGGCGCTGTGGCTCAAGCACTCGCCTTGAGCTGAAGAGCTGAGGGACAGCACCCAGGCCCAGAGTTCAAGCCCCCACAACCAACAAAAAAAAAGGAAGGAAGGGAGGGAGGGAAGGAGGGAGGAAGGAAGGAAGGAAATCAATACTTATTGAACCACAGTCACCAAGAAAAACACTTTTATCGTTTTATTAATTTATGTGATTAAGGAAAAATGATAATTTATTTCCTAAACTTTGAACATATATTCTTCCTAAAAAGCTCCCGGCACTGAGTGTGATGACACATGTCTGTAATTCCAGCACTGAGAAGGCTAAGCAGGAGGATCACAAGTTCGAGTGGCCTACGCAACAGAATAAGTTAGAGGCCAAGTCTGGGCTGTATAAGAAAACCCTGTCTTAGCCGGGCGCTGGCTGAGATCTGAGGATCGCTGTTCAAAGCCAGCCCCGGGCAGGAGAGGCCGTGAGACTCCTATCTCCAATAAACCACCAGAAAACCGGAAGTGGCACTGTAGCTCAAGTGGTAGAGTGCTCGCCTTGAGCTGAAGAGCTGAGGGACAGCACCCAGGCCCAGAGTTCAAGCCCCATGGCCGACAAAAAAAAAAAAAAACCCTGTCTTTAGAAAGGGAAAAAGCACTTGTAGTGTATCAGTTTTCTGACTACTCATGATTCCTATTCCTAAAATCTCTAAGGATTCGGTCAAGTATAAAAATGTTAGATTAGGTCAGGTTCCTGTGGCTCACACCTGTAATCCTACCTACTCAAGATCCTGGCTGAGGTCTAAAGATTGCAGTTTGAAGCCAGCTAGGACAAGAAAGTCTGTGAGACTCTTACCTCCGATTAACCAGCAAAAAAAAAAAAGTGAAGCTATGGCTTAAGTGATAGAGTACCAGCCTTGAATGAAAAAGTTCAGGCACAGACAGCACCCAGGCCCTGAGTTCAAGCCCCATTACAGGAACAAATACAAACTAACAAACAAAAATAAAAGCAATAAGATGTGAAGTTAAGTTAGGTTTGTCATTCAGAGTATATCTGGCCATGGTAGCTCATGCCTGTAATTCTAGCTACCTAGGAAGTAGGGATTGAGAGGATTGTGGTTTAATGCCAGCCTAGGAAAAAAGTGATTTAGCTAGACCTCATGTACACACACACACACACATACACACACACACAATGACAGTGTAGGCCTATCATTCCAACTGTGTGGAAATCAAAAGTAAGAAGATAGTGCTCCAGGCCACAACACCCAATCTGAAAATAAAGCAAAAAGTCTGGAAGCATAATTCAAGTAGTAGAGTGGCAGCCTAGCATGTATGTCAGCCTGAGTTCAAACCACAGTACAATTTTTTTAAAGCAAAATGAATAAAAAACATATTCTCTCATTTTAATTAGCTTAGTTGTGGTGATTTTTTTTTTGTGTGCTGGAGTTTGAACTCAAGGGCTCACACCCTTTCTTGGCTCTGTTTTTCCCTCAGAGCTGGTACTCTACCACTTGCGTCATTACTTGCGTCATTTCACTGGTTATTTTCCTTTAAATATTTATTTTTATTAAGTCATTGCAAGTAAGGGGTTTTCATTGCAGATGTCAGAAGTCAGGTTATGATCACAATGCGTGCTGGTCAATATCACCCCTTTTCCCCCCACCTTTCCCTATCCCATCCCTAGCCCTTTGTACATACTAAGCCTTGAATGTAATGACTACATTTGCTCACCCTTCCTCCTTCCATTCCTGTGCCCCTGTACACACATACACACACACACACAGCATGTTTCGGCTTTCTGGTATTCCTTTTATTAAATGGTTCTTTAGATATTCAGAGGAATTACACCACTGGACTCCTCCCTAAGCATACCATCCTTTTGGCAAATCGTTTGTGTATATATGGATATGACTGTATACATTGTCACGTTTGTATTTTAGAAATACATATGAACGAAAATGTGCACCATTTGTCTCTCAGAGCCTGACTTACTTCACTTAACATAATTTTTTCTAGGTCCATCCATTTCCCCACAAATGATTATATTGTATTATGCATACAATATTTTAATACAATGTTATCATATTGTATAATTAGTACACTTTCATTATACATAGGTACTATATTTTCTTGAGCTACTCATCTATTGTAGGGCATCTGGGCTGTTTCCATAACTTGGCTATTGTGAATAATGCAGCAATGAACATGGATGTGCAAAAGTCTTTACTGTATCCTGACTTGCAGTACACTGGGCAAGAATGATATGGCTAGATAATAGGGTAGTTCTCTTTAGTTTTGTCTGTTTGTTTTTGCTGGTCATAGGGCTTGAACTCTGAGCATCGGTGCTGTCCCTGAGCTCTTCAGCTCAAGGCAAGCACTCTACCATTTGAACCACAGTACCATTTCCGGTTTTCTGATGTTTAATTGGAGATGAGTCTCATGGACTTTCCTGCCCAGGCTGGCTTTGAAATGTGATCCTCAGACCTCAGCCTCTTGAGTAGCTAGGATTGCAAGCGTGAGCCACCAGCGCCCAGCTATGTTTAGTTTTTTAAGGAACTGCCAGAGTGGTTGTACTAGTTTACATTCCCACCAACATTGTAATAGAGTTCCTTTTTTTCCCACACACCCCCCCATCATTTTTTATTATTCAAATTATCTATGCTGGCCACTCTTACTGGGTAAAATGGAATCTCCAGGTTGATTTGCATTTCCTTGATGGCCAGGGAGGTTTTAGCATTTCCTCATGTGTATATTGACCTGCTTGTTACTTGGAATAATTTCTCAGATTTGTTTGCCTAATCTGGCTTCAAATCCCAATTCTCAGATCTCAGCCTCCTGAGTAGCTAGGATTATAGGTGTGAACCACAGGTGCACAGCCTGATTTTTTTTTTCTTTCAGATAAAACTTACTCAGTTCTAACCCTATAACCTTATAACCCTATAACCTTAGCTAAGTCACTTAACTAGTTAAAAGTTCACTTTCCTAGTCAGACCATTGGCCTGGAATATCTCTGAGGATTCATTAGGGTCTATGCCTAAATCATTGCCTAATTTTGTAGTACAGGATGAATGTGGTGCCCACTGACCACCAGAGGGCACTCTGATGCACAAAGTATGCACTGCCTCCCTTTAGTGTTTCTACCGTTTCATCATTTCACTTTATATATTTTGTCATTCCATTTTGAATGCCTATATAAACCTAGCATGTGAATATCATAAAATTATAATTGATTTTCTTTATTAATGAAATTTATAGTGAATTCTGTATTCCTTTTTGTAAAGGCACCAAATCTAATGATTATTGTTTTTCATGACTGTCTTGTCAACATTTATTTGGGGATTGGCATATACTTGATGCTGATAGTATGGCTAAATAAGAAAGCCACTGAAATAAATGAAAGATACAGACAGTTCAACATGCAGAAGTAGCAGGCACCTTTTCCTCTGTTAAGGGTTTTTCTTTTTTTTCTTTTTTCTTTTCTTTTTTTTTTTTTTTTTTGGTGGTCGTGGGGCTTGAACTTTGGGCCTGAGCGCTGTCCCTCAGCTCTTCAGCTCAAGGCGAGCGCTCTACCACTTGAGCTACAGCACCACTTCCGGTTTCCTGGTGGTTTATTGGAGATAGGAGTCTCACGGTCTTTCCTGCCTGGGCTGGCTTTGAACCTCGATCCTCTGATCTCAGCCTCCTGAGTAGCTAGGATTACAGGCGTGAGCCACCAGCTCCCAGCTGTTAAGGGTTTTTCATAAGAGCTTATTACCTTTGTGCTTCTTACATTTTCTCCACTTCCTATATTGTTAACTTTTATGATATACGTGCAAATCTGAGATAGGAGAACCACCGTTCATGTCATCTTTGACAAGTCAAATCAGTAATTCTTCAACCTTTTTACTACTGTATTCTACAGACAACATCTTAATAAATATGCTATAGGATTACCATTAAAAAGTGCTGAATAGGGCTGGGAAGGTGGCTCAGTGGTAGAGCGCTTGCCTTGCATGCATGAGGCCCTGGGTTCGATTCCTCAGCACCACATAAGCAAAAAGAAAAAAGCCGGAAGTGGCGCTGTGGCTCAAGTGGTAGAGTGCTAGCTTTGAGCTGAAGAGCTGAGGGACAGCGCCCAGGCCCAGAGTTCAGGACCCACCCGGACCCAAAAAAAAAAAAAGTGCTGAATATTAAATGGGTGTGATGGTGCATGCCTATAATCTCAGCACTTGGGAGGCTAAGACAGAAGGACCGTGAATAGGAGTCTGGCCCGGGCAACTTAGCAACACCCTGACTTTAAAAGAAAAAAGTAGTACTAAATATCAGAGAAATATCATCAGAAAGAAACTGCTGAAGCCTGTCTTCTATTTGTGAGAAGGAACTAAGGTCATTTGCTGTTAAGATAATCTGCTTGGAAACAATAGGAAGCTAAAGCGATTAGAACTTCTGTGTCATTAAACACTGAACAAAGCCATAATGATGAAGCCTTCCTGTTTACCAACAGGAACAACATGCCGGACTTCCACAAATTAAAAACAAAACTGGCAACGAAGAAAGGAGCCCGGGCTTATGCCTGTCAGTGTAGCTGGAGAACTATTGAAGAACTGACAAACCTGCAGACAGATCATCAGCTTCGCTGGGTTTGTGGTAAACATTAGGAATACAGACTTTACATTCGGACAAATGCATCAGTAAGAATAGACTCTTAACTGATCGCCATCATATTTAGACAGAGGTATATACTAATCCCACGCCTTTGGAATTTCACTTAACTACACAATGAACTGGAGGAGACAGACATACTATACTATAACAATTTAGAATTATTCTCGTGTGTGTGCATGTGTGTGCGTGTGCATACGTGCGTGCGTGCGTGCGTGCGTGTGTGTGTGTGTGTGTGTGTGTGTCCTGGAGTTTAAACTCAGGGCTTGGGCACTGTCTCTGAGCTTTTTTGCTCAAGGTTAGCACACTCCCACTTGAGCCACAGCTCCACTTCCCAAGCCTTTTTGGTGGTATTAACCACTGAAATAAGAGTCTTGTCTTGAAGATAAGAGACTCAAGGACTTTTCCTGTCTGGGCAGGCTTCGAACTGTGATCCTCAGATCTCAGCCTCCTCAATAACTAGGATTATAGGTGTGAGCCACTCATGCCTGGCAGAATTATTCCTTTTTGGTACGTGGATGCTTCACTTAGTAAGGTAACAAACCCAGACTTTTTGCTAGGCTACCTCTTGTCCCATGGAAAGTTTAATTCTGGAGTTTTGTAGAACTATATGGCCATTAATTAGCAATTGCAGTGTTGTCTGCTAATAATATTTAATATACACATTCCTCATATATAGCCGTAAAATGAATCTAGCCAGGGTAGAGAAGTCATTGTAGAAATGTTCACAGCACCTCCTCCAGTCTGATCTGTTACTGCCAGAGATCCGAATTTGAACTCAGTAAAACCACACGATGAGTGGCTAGCTGAAGGGTTGTCAGGAATACAGATATTTGTAAAACACTGCCTATAGCTCATGGACCTCACCAGTGACAGGCAGAACTATACATAATAATGATAATGTTCTATTACCAGTTTTAGCTTATATCCTCTCCCTTTGTTTTATAGTATCAAAAGTTATTTAGTTTCTATCTTAACAAATATCCATTTATATATGTATAAACAATTCTTTTTTTGGTGGGGTCCGGTTGTGGGGC